AAGATGCAGTCACTGATGGACTACCTATGTTGTTTTGGGAATTTCCACACGCGCAGATTACTACTGAAGGTTAAAAGAAAGAAAATATTTTTCTTTAGTAATAAACAAAAACATTTGATCTAATTGTTGAGAGACTGTAATACTTTCCTGGGAATAACGGCTATTTTCTCTCGCTGTGACAGCATGATTCTGGTCCCAATGCTTTCTGGGGTTGACAGACTAAGGTAGGGCCTTTCCCTTTCACAATTGTCCATTTCAAAAACCTGCGAACAGTCACCCTGGTGAGACCTCAGACAGGACTTCCAAGGCCTGGGAGAAGATGGTTTGGAGTCAAGGCAGCTTCCAGCAGGGGTCTGTGTCTGACTCCAGCAGCTTGCAAAACCACTGGTGGGGTGGCTGAAAGGGTCCACACTAACATCCACATGAGGTGCACAGCCCTGCCTGAGGTCCTCACCCACGGCCACTCCAGACAGAGGATGCCTTGAGTATCCTCACCGAATAGACGGGGACAATGTGGCTCCGTAGCAGGAGCCAGCGTGAGCCAGCTCCAAGCCAACTCCAAGCCAGATCTGCCCAGCCCTTGACCTCCAAGGACGTGGGAAAGAATGTACCAGATGATGAAGGAAGATTTAAGAATGCAGAGGAGCCCAGGAAAACGACGACTGCGTGGATCCTAGTGGATACCAGAGGACTCAGAGGCTGGACATCCCCTACTGAGGTGGGAAGCACACAGTTCCTGGCGACCTGGCATTGGGCCTTGGGAGGCTGATGCCACAGGGTTTTAGACCACACCAACGAGGGGTTGTAGAAAAGAGGGAGCTTTGGAAGAGGAAGTGACTGCCCATCTGTGGCTTCACCCCCAAATGCACACAACAGAGCTGAGCTGGGCGGAAGCTGGAAACAGGGGATTTAAACAAACAAAGCCTTGATAGATCCTTGGTAGATCCCAAGGATCTACTTGGTACCCTGCACCTGCACCGGAGACCTGGAAGAAGCTCCTGCCTCTTGGCTTCGGAATGGCTCAACTCTGGTCGTTGCAGCCAGTTGGGGAATAAACCAGCAGACAGAAAATCTTACTCTCTCTCTCTCTCTCTCCCCCTCTCTGTAAATCTGATCTACCTTTCCAATAAAAAATAAATCTTGAAGGAAAAGAGCCCAATGGCTAAAATTAAAGCCAGCTAAGAGATTCTCCTGGCTCCAGTGTGATAGTCTAGCAGCTAAAGTCCTTGCCTTGCACGCACCAGGATCCCATATGGGTGCCAGTTCTAATCCTGGCGGCTCCACTTCCCATCCAGCTCCCTGCCTGTGACCTGGGAAAGCCCAAAGCTTTGGGACCCTGCACCCATGTGGGAGACCCAAAAGAAGCTCCTGGCTTCGGATTGGCCCAGCTGCACCCATTGAGGCCGCTTGGGGAGTGAACCATTGGACGGAAGATCTTCTTCTCTGTCTCTCCTCTCTGTCTCTCTTCTCTGTATATCTGCCTTTCCAATAAAAATAAATCTTTTTAAAAAGGTCTTTAAAAAAGGAGAGATTCTCTCTCTTATGGGAGACAGAAACATATATGAAGATGCCTATACTATCAACATCAGGGGGATGCAGATGGAAGCCTCCATAGGACTATCACCTCATTCCTCCTAGGATGGCTATTAACAACACCATAGGCAAGGGTGGACAGGATGTTGAGAAACTAGAATGTTTGCATCCTGCGGTGACTGCCAAATGGTACATCTGCTATGGAATATAGTATGAACATTCATTTTAAAAAGTAAAAATTAGGGTCTCCAATGTGACACAGCAGATTAAGTTGCATGTGGCACCAGCATGACCTATCACAGTGCTGGTTCAAGTCCCACTTGCTCCACTTCTGATCCACCTTCCCGCCAATGTGCCTGGAAAAACGTAAAGAATGACCCAAGCCCTTGGGTCTCTGCCACCTGTGTGGCGGACCCAGATTGAGTTCTTGCTTAGCCCAGGTCATCGTGGCCATTTAGGAAGGAAGATCTCTGACTCCCTGCCTTTCAAATAAATAAATCGGAACAAAAATAAAAGTAGACCATTATGTGACCTGACAATTTCACTGCTGGATATTCACTGAAATGAGTTGAAATCAGTAATTTGAAGTGCTAACTGCACTTTCATGTTCACTTCTGTATTCACAATAAGACATGGAAACCATGCAAATGTCCTACAACTTGACGCATGGATGAAAAAGTGGCCCATACATAAAAGGAACACTGTGAGGCCTAGGAAAGAAGGAAATCCCACAATGTGAGCACATGACTAAATCTTGAGAACATTACGCAAACAAGCCTGTCACAGAACAGACACTGCATGCTTCCGTTTTCATGAGGCATCTTAAATAGCCAAGTTCTGGAGACCTGCTGTGCATCTCAGACTCAAGCCAGCAATACTACATTCTACTGAAAATTTTGCCAGAAGAGGTGGTTTTTTTTGTTTGTTTGTTTTCCCTCTCATGCTATGTTCTCAGCACAATACAGGTTCCTTGGAAGTGGAAGGAACATGAGCATCCACCGGCCCAGCTACCCAGAGGAAGGTGCTGGTGGTAGGCCCTGAACACAGGTGTCTCCGAGCCCCAAAGCTCTCATACCATTCTCACCACCAGAAAAATGTAAAGATGTGAAGGTGAAGATGGGAGACACCCTCACCCCTCCACACATAACAGATGGCATCTCTTCATTCTTACAACTCAGCAGGTGGATGTGAAGCACCCCTGCTGGAGCCCCTATTCTAGCCAGGAGCCACATGGGAAGTACCCTAGAGTCGCATGGTGTAGCCTCAACTCAAGTTGGGGGACTCCAGTCCACTCCACCGCATATAGGCAGCACCCTGGCCCTACTCTATCCTGTCAACCCCATCCCTAATGACAGCAGTGACAAAAGCCAACCGGATCCTGCATAGATGTCCCCTTGAAAACTTGGGACACAGGAAGTCCAGCTGTCATCCCCTTGACTCCTAAAAGGCTTCATCCCAGGATTTCCTGACAGGTGCTCAGTGCACCAAGGGCACAGGTGCGTGTGTAGAACACCTGCTGCTCACAGCCCCTCACAGGAAGCACACCTGCCCGCTTCCCAGGTGGGGTCAGTCAGGTTTGCGGATCAGACTCCCAAGGGAGGACAGTGCTTGGTTAGTATGGACCGCATTCTGCTGGCCCCACCTGGACATCCTAGGCACACAGGCCCACTCCCACGAAGACCTCCATTCTGCCCCCTTGTCACCTGCACTGCTGAGGTTAGGCAGCAGACAGTTCCACCTGGGAGGAAGACGGCATTCAAGCAGATGGTATCTGTGGTTGCCCCTGGAAGAGAGCCAGCTAGCACCTGGGGCACTGCGAGGAAATTATTCCACCCCACGTCAGGGTGGGTCCAGAGCAGCCAAGGACTTGGACTCCAGCATGGTGAGAACTTTTACAGCCAGATGGCTCTGTGGGCCCTGCTCCCACTGCCTACCCCTTACACTCACACACACACACACACTCACACACACAGATCCAAAGATGAGGCCAACCTCTTGAAAAATATAAAATTTTAATAAAGGCTACATCTCTTAATTACAATAATTATTGTACCAAGTAATTCTCCTTAAATGAACTCTTTATAATGCATAATTTACAGTATAAGTAGAACAAAATGCCATGACAAAAGTCATTGAGTACAAGGCTTGTAATAAAAAGGCATAAAATATATTTATACATAAGCCCCTTTCAAAAACCAAGGGAAAGCTGGAGCCCTACAATATAGGGCGACACACGGAGCGGGCTCCGTGCAAGTACAGGTACTGTACTGGTTCAAAGTCAAGCACTAGAGACAGTGGATTGATATCTTTTGCCGTACACTATATACACACACGTGTAAGTACAAGGACCGATGGCAAACAGAATGCACACATAACTTAACACAAAAAATCCGAACATCAAAGTGAGGGTGCCTGCAGGAAGGTGCCGCTGGGTCTCCCCCACAGCCGCTCATTTCTTGGGGTGGGAGGGAGTGTAGTTTCCTGGATAGCTGTGGTCCAAAGACTCATTTAAAAGAAGAAGAAGGAAAAAAAAAAAGTCCGTGGGAAGAAAAAGCAATTCGATCAAAGCGCAAACTTGAACCACAAGGAGGTGACTCTGGGACGGCCTCAGTGACCACGCCCTGTGCCAGCAGACGGGCTGCAAAGACACGATGCCTTGGTCACAAGATGACACTGGGGAAGCCCCCACCTACACATACACACTCAGTGAGGGTCCCCACTACACGCGCTGGACCAGGCCAGCCAGCGAATGGCCATGACACCGCCGACAGTTAACCCTGGAGACTGCAATGACGACGCAGCAGCAGCAGCAGCGTGAAGAAAGAGACGGACTGCGTTCTGCGGGTCAACGGTGGGTACCCTTTTCTGACAGTCTGTCTTCACCGGGAGAAACGCACGCCACGCCTCTTTCCTGAAGAAATCACCGATGCACTTTGAGAGCTCAGCTCCCAAGTTTAGACAGAACAAATAGGACCTTCTCTCTACTCTTCCACGTGTAAAGCAGCATATCCATAAACAGGGGCCGGGGAAGCACAACCGTTCAATAAATATCAGAAAGGACTTCTGTCCGGGTAAGCTGTACACAATTTCTCTTAGTTTATGGATTGCAGATCCCTAGGAAGTCATATATTATGTATAGCAGTCTCTCTCACGGTCAGCATCTTCCACAGCCAAGAGTGGTCATGGTTTTAATAAATAGTTCAGGCTTTTCTTCTCTCAGGACCCAGTGCATGAATCCTCACCACCAGCCTGCCCCGCCCTCCCGAAGGCGCCCACGGCCAACGCCTTCCTAGGCTCTGTGTTTTCCTTCCAGGTTGTTCTAGGGCCGCAGCTCATGTCGTGGGCAGCTTGCAGGAGCTGGGGCTGCAGGGCTGGCCGGGGCTCAGCTTGCAGGAGCTGGGGCTGCAGGGCTGGCCGGGGCTCAGCTTGCAGGAGCTGGGGCTGCAGGGCTGGCCGGGGCTCAGCTTGCAGGAGCTGGGGCTGCAGGGCTGGCCGGGGCCGCAGCCCACGGGCTCAGTCGATCCTCTCCACCTTGCCCAGGATCCTGCCTTCGTACATGGGGAGCACCGTCTCGTCATCCCAGACCTCCTCGAAAACCGCTCCGCAGGCAAACTCGTCACTTGCTTTTTTGAAGTAATACCTTGAAAGGCAAACCAGGAGACCTTTTTAGGTGTGCTTGGACTTTCTCTATGTCGTCTTAAAAGAGAAATGCATCAACGCTCAGAATCTGCAGGTGTATCAGAAACTGTGACTTCATATGGTGACCGCAGCTGCCCTATAGGGGCCCTCTGGGAAGCGGTGTGCTCCGGGTCTCCCACCTGCAAGCCCTCCGGGTTCAGCGAAAGGCCCGGCATAGAACTTGTGCTGCTGGTCTCAGGCAGACACACTGCAGGAAGCAGAGAAGTTGCCCTCTGGGATTTTCTCCGGGCAAGTGGGGTTGTGGGTAAGACAAGACGACGGCACTGCATTTCCAATGGCAGCCTGGGGTGGGGCTGACCCTCCACTGATCCTGGACTCAGCTAAGTTTCAAGGTGCCTGAATTCACAACCCACAGAACCCCAACCTGCAAAGTCTGCAGAAGACAGACCCCAGGCCTCTTGTCCTTCCCACGCTCAAGTGCCAGTACCTGCGACTGGTGCCTGGTACTGCCAGGCAGGAGACAGGCCTGCCTCATGACACTGGCGGCCGAGTAGAGGTTCAAGCCTTCCAGTGTCATCTGCTCAGGGCTTTTCTGTTGCACCTGCTGATTAAAGATTCCTTTGACCCCATTCTGTCCTCTAGGACTATTTAATTGTACTGATGCAAATGACTGACCTCTCTCAAAAGACACTCAGAAACACCCAGGGCCACCCCAGGCCCTTACAAGGAGAGCCAGCCAGGGGTCTCTTCCTTCCCAGTCAACAGCCAGGGAGGCCCCTCTGATGCATGAAGCTCACCCCTGCAAGTGGCCACTTCCAGCCCCTAAAGGTCACGCCCCCAAGGCGGAGGAGGTGGTGGCGGCAGTCCCTGGGGAAAGGGGACAGCTTTTAAAACCTGTAACTAAGTCTTAAGGTTTGTGGTTGGCTTTTGTCTTTGTCTTTCCTCTTTAACAACAAAGGGTCACCTCATTGGGGCACAATGTCTTTCTTCCTGAAGGAAGGTAAGTTGCAACCTCTCACAGGAGGTAAGGTGGCACGCGGACTGACTACGGTCCAACAACCACCTGCTTCTGATGGGTCATGGTGAAAAGATTCCAAATTCCTGGAGGGGTGGGGACCCCAAGAGCAGACAGTGAGGAAAGAGGAAAGGGCCCTGGGGCCTTGGGGCCAGGCAAGGGGTCACTTCCAGAGAGGGGGTTCCAATCCCAGCACCACCCTTTATCACACCCTGGACTTCTGGGGGCTCTGACCACCAGGGGGTCACCTGAGCTGGGCTCTCGGGGTGCCCTGTGACAGGACTGCGAGTTCTTTTCAGGGGGGCAGGGGCAGCACTCTCCTCTATCCCACCCCCGGACTTCAAATGCCATGTGGCGCCCTCATTTTTCTCCATGGCAACATGCTTTATGTGGCAAACTCTGCTTTCTTCCGACATCTGGCACCAATAGCGTCTGGCACGTCTGGAGCGACTGTTTGCTTCTTGAAGCCCTGCCACAGTGAGACTGCTCAATGCAGGCCAGGTCCCCCGCTCCACCACCTCCACCTTGCTGGACTTTTTTGGTGGGGGATGGGGGTCAAGGGGGGTGGATGCACGTACAGACTGAGATGCTAGTTCTGTTCAGAAGGTTAACATGGCACCCTGTCCATCCTGCTCCCGTCCCCCGGGGGCGGGGGGGGGCACTGAGCAGAGATAAGGCAGCTAGAAAGGCCTTCCCACAGCCTGATCCAATCAGGAAAGAATTTGAGAGTCAACCATTTGTGCAAGTCTTTGTGCGTTAAACGGGAGGCCAGGGCTTCAAAGTCAGGCTTATTAAATGTGCCTTAGGAAAAAAAGAAAAAAGAAAAACGGAAAGAATCAGAGCCAGATGTGGCCAGAGAGGCTGAGCGGGGCACCTTCCCGCGGCCCCTGCTCGGCAGCCCACGGCTCTTCCCCCCGTGCAGGTCACCTGCAGTCCCACACAAAGTCCAGCCCAGGTATAGCTGACATCAAAATAAACCCCTGGAGGGCCACTGGGCCACTCTGGTGTCAATAGCTTCATCTTAAGTCTTTTCAAAATTGAGGGTGGTGGTGGTGATTGCAGCAGTAGGCACTGCCAGACCTGCTTGCCACTCCTTTGATAACTTTTCAAAGCTGCCTGTCCCCCATGCCGCTCCATCACCCACAGGACACCTGCCCCATCTCCGCACAGTCTCCCAGGAAAGGCACATGCTCTGAGATCCGCCTGCTCTGGAGGGGAAAGGTCTCAGAGTCCAGCCCACAGGCTGGTTCTCCACATACAACCCTCTGCTGGTGGTGGCACTGGCTGACAGCTGATGGACACCAACCGTGATCCTGCAGAGTCCAACAGGAAGCACAAAGTGCTGCTGCTTCTTGGTGTGGACCAGGCTGGGTGCCCGTGTCCCTCGGGATGCTGCCCGGAGAAGGCACAGGCAGGACTCTACATGATCTCAGCTAGGGTGGCCACCTGCCTTCACGAAGAGAAAAGGGAACATCCAACAGCACGGATGTGGCCTTCGTCCTCCTCCACTCCAGAAGCCTCTGCACCTGCATTCTGCTGATGGCCAAAGGAAGTCAAGGGGCCTAGCTGCCTCCCCAAAGCCCCACCAGGGAAGAAAAGGCAGTGAGGGAAGCTCAGGTGGTGGTGGGGGGTAAGAGTGGCCACGCCCCATTACACACTCACCCATGCAGCCCTGGCTTTCTTATGGGCAAACAACAACCCAGTCTCCAAAGACCCACAAAGTACAGGGCAGGAGGGCTCAAGACACTGCCACCATTTCCTGACCCTCCCCTGAGCCTTGGGTGTGGGGGTTTCCCCAAGACCCAATCTAGGATGCCTTCAGGTCCTTCCTGCCACTCAGTCCCTCCTGCCAATGCCCGCCATCCCTCGAATTCAGGCAGACCTTCTGCAAGACGTCCCACAAGCCAGCTCTCACTTGACATGGCCAACCGCAGCCCTGAGAGTGTGCTGAGCCTGGTCCACCTGGCAGACAAGGCCCCACCAGATCCCAGGAGAACCAGAGGGCAGCCTCCCTCTGGTGGCTGCGGCTGCTGCAAGTGTTGCTGTTAGCAGTGATGGTGAGGGGAAATGAGAAGGAACCAAACCAGCCCCCGCTGCCCTGTGCTTCTGAAGTGCCCCCACCCCACCCTCCAGCACCTCCCAGATTCACCGGGCTGCAGCTTTTGGTTCTGAGCAGACTCCAGAGCAGGCAAAAGCCACAGGACTCTTACCTATAATTTCCCTTTTTGCTGAGCTGCTCTTTGAAGTGGCCCAATGTCAAACTCTGCGCCTTCAGCATCCTCCGGTATGGAATCTCTTCTCCACAGAAAAAGTAAGTGACGACCAACTCACTGGCCTGGAGGGCGTGGACGCCTGCCGGCTTCTTTGGCTCTTTGTGACTGAAAATAAGATAGAACACCACAAACTCAGCATTTTAAAGCAGATGTGTGTCTACACGCAAACAGGCACGCGCGTTCCTAGTTGCCGGTCCCGGGGTTGGAGCCAGGAGCCATAGGACAGCTCTGGGCACGGGCAGGGAGAGCTGTGTCCCTTGTGGCTGTATGAGCTGCTGTCACCTCCTTCTCTGCCACCCCTTGGGGGTATGCAGCAGCCTCTTTCTGGGCAGTGCAAATGGGGTGCTCACCAAGGAGGGACTACGGGCGTGCACCTGCAGCAGGGAATGCCAGCAAAGCAAGCCCAGCATAGGGGACCTCCCCCAGGATGCCTGAAGCCCAGCCGCCAAGGTGGCAGGACAAACGCAGCAAATGGGAGTTAGCACCTGGCCCTATCTACTTCTCCATTTATTCTGTACTTTTGGGAGAGTGGCTTAAGACTCTGCTGCGCTGGACAGCTGGTAGACTTGAAGTCAACCAATTAAGCCAATAAAAGGGCTCAGGAGGGTGGCTTGCTCAGGACAGGGAGGCTAAGGAATCTTTCATCTGAGATCTCTGTGGCAGATCTCTTTGTAAACTCTCCATCCTATTGCTAAGCTGGATCAGACTTTTCAGTCCACCGACAAGAATGTAACAAAAAGACTTATGGCCCATTTGGAGAAGACAGTCTTCTCCAAGCAAAAACTCAGGGCTGGTGCTGCTCGCAACTTCTGCCATGGCCGAAGCACAGGGCTTACAGGGACAACTGTCTGGGTGGAACGGGGGGCGGGGGGTCCCTTTCCCACACTGGCTGGCACCTTCACGCTCCAGCTCTTGACTTTCTGTGGCCAGTGATGCCCTTCTCAGCACCCATGGGTTTTCCATGATCCTTGCTGGGGGCACCTGCCTGCACTTCCTGTCCCTTACTGCTGGTGACAAAATTGAGGGGATTTTGTCAGCTATCAAAGATCTCTGGGTAGCAAACAGCCTGAAACACAACCCACTTGGTGGAGCTCAGCGACAGCAGGCAGGTAAAAACACTCACTCTTCCGGAGCCAGGCTTGTGCTGGAGAAGGATGTGGCTCCTGCCTGACCCGCAGCTGAGTGGTTCCTGTCCCTCTGCTGGTTGGTCACACAGCACCTGAGGACACAGACAGGGTCAGGGCCTTAGAGGTGTAGCCATCCTCAGGGTCACGGTCACGGGACAAGAGCAGACAAAGTAGGGACTCTCTTTGGCCTCCAGAAGACAAACAAACCCAACCTCCACATCCATGGAGATCCAGCCAAGGCCATGTGGTAGTTGTGGCTGGAGAACGCCCAGAAGATACCCTGGAGACAGCTCTGGAGGGCCCCCAGGGAACCCAGACACCCACAGCCTGGTTCTACTAGTTGGGGCTTCTTCCGAGTTCAGCTAAAGCAGCCTTCAGTGATCCAGATGTTTTGTAAGGAATTACTCAAGTGCATTCTCCTAAACCCTGGTTCAAGTCTGACACAATCAACTTCACTAAAGAGACCTGTCTCTAGAGGCTGCAAAGGTCGACCAGAAGCTGAGACCCAGGTCCTCCTCCTCCTCCTCCTCCACCCCCATCCCAACCTCTGCCTGACCTCCCCCTCCACTCACCGCTGCTTTGGGGGCTTCGACACCTCAGCCAGCCTACGGCAGGCCTCTTCTAGCTGTGCCAGAGTATTGGGTGGAGGCAGGGGCGGCATCGCAGGGTCTTGGGTGAAGGGGTGGGCACGGGGGGTGGTGCGGGGATGCCCACCGCTCCCCCACAGATGGTGCCGGCTGATTCGTTCACCTGGGGACCCTCGGGCAGACTCCAAGGGAGAAGCCTTTTTTGTGCTTTGGGCACTGAACAGGGATGAAGGGAGAGAAAGCAGAAAGAAAGGGATTGGGTTAGAAAAAAATTGGAAAATGTGACTTCAGTAGAAACTTGTCTAGTCTGCTCTGAGAGAGGGAAAAGAAAAAATAACTCTACCATACAAGAATGGGAGTGGTTGCCAAAACATGACATTTTTGTGGTCTGCCCAGTCTAGTGTTTAATATTAAGATGGCAGGAGCAAGCATTCACACTTGTTTTCAGTGGACTGCAAAAATAGCCATCCCCACAATACCCTGGCACCGAGGGCCCGTGACCCTGGGCGTGGTGTTTACCTATGAGGCTTGGGCTTGCTCTGGCGTTCGCTCTCCAGCATCCACTGCCACACATCCTGCGACCTGTCTCCTTCCTCCCCCGGAAGCTGCAGGGTCCCAGCTCCACCGGGGGCCCCTCCTTCCCTGGCCGGCAGGGCCAGGCCGGGCTCCGTGCCTTTCCCGCTTCGTCTGGGCAAGGTACTGCCTCTGCTGCCACTGTGGGAAACCAAGAGCCACACCCGACCTCCATTAAAACTCCATGACTCCTTGGATGGGACCACCAGGTCTGCAAGGGGCAGTGACCGCAAAAGACCCATGCACCTGCTCCTTCCAGCCCACTTCACCGTGACCACCCGACTGCCCTCTTCGCTCAATGCCTGTGACCCTGGACCCTACCTCACACCCACCCAGGACTCTGGCTGGGAGAAAAGCCCCACGTGGAACACTGCAGTCTGCCCAGCACTTACCCTAACTGTTCCCCGGGCATGGGCTCCGGAGCCTTGGGGTGGCCCCTGCCCTTGGGGTAGCAGTAATACTCAGGGCTCCCGGGGCAGAAGCAGCGCACTCTCTGTGTGGCCTCAGCCTCAATCTCCTCCTTGGTCTTGGGGCCGCTGTGGTGGTGGATGTAGTGGTGGTGGACGTGTTTTGTGGTTTGCTTGGTCACAAAGCCCTTGCCGCCGGGCAGTGGACAGGCCAGGGTTGCAGCAGCGGCAGTGGCGGAGGGGGGCAGCTTGCCTCCTGGCGGGAGCAGGGGGTGGTACGGCTGGTGATGGTGATGGTGGTGGTGATCAGGGGAGCGGGAGCGTGGGCTGGAGCGGCCCACGCCGGGAGACTGGCAGCCGGGGGTCTTGAGCACCCTGGACAGGTGGTCGTCCAGGATCGTCTGGGGGTCCTCCTCGTAGCTGCCAGAGGGCAGCAAGGACAGGGCATGTTGTGCTGGCACACCTTCCCGCGAGTTCAGGGCTAGCTCGGACGCCTCCTTCTCTTCATCCTGGAAGGGAAGGAAGCAGACGGGACGTGGCATGTGGGTGTGCCAGCAGGCACAGGTGCGCAGCGCGGTGGAGCGGAGGTGGTCCCGTTCCCCCCGGGCGTACCTCGCGGATCTGCTGCAGCCGCTCCTCCAGGCTATGGCGGCTCTCCAGCTCCAGCTTCAGCTTCTCCAGCCTCGAGATGAGCTCGGCTGCGAAGGCGGCGGGTTCCACGGGGGTCATCTCCTTGGGCAGGCGGTGGGTTCTCTGCGGGATGCAGGGGAAGAAAGGGACCAGGGTCGCTTAGCAGGCCGGCCGGGCAGCCATACCGGCTCAGCCACAGCTGGCCTGGCCCCTGTTGGCGTGGAGAGCGGATGGCAAGGCAGCTGGGGCTGCTCGGGATTTTTATGCGCCGGCGCCACGGCCTCATGGAGAGCCATGGTCCCCACCAGCGCTCGCCTAGGGCAGGAGCAGTTGGTCGCACTCCGAGAAGCCCTGCTTGTTCTCTCTGTAGTACAACCAGCCCATCAGTAGCTACTCTGAAGTAGAAAATCTTCAAAGACTGTTGTCAAACATCAAAAAAAAAAAAAAAAAAAAGGCGGCAGCCCTGTGAGATGGGGAGGGGAGCGAGATCAACTCAAGGAATAAAAAGTAGTGTCTAAACAGAAAGGGAGTTGAAAATTAAAGAAAATAAGATTGGAAAGGAGGTGGGAGGGAGGAGAAGAAGGGGGAAAAAAAAAAAAGCAGAAGAAGTCGACCGGCCGGATCAGAGCAGCGGTAATTCATTTCCCGGCCGCACACTGCGCACCTCTGAGGTGCTGTTGTCTCAACACGGTCCCGGCCTCCCTCGCTTCTCTCCTCCCCTCCTCCCCATCTCTTTGTACAGAAAATGAAGGAAGCTGCTGCAGGCTAGTAGCAGACCACTGCTGAGCTTGGCTGCCTGAAGCTGATCTATCAAGGGAAAAGGGAACATCTCCACAGCCGGTGCAGAATATAAAAAGGCACGGGGCACGCCTGCCAAAAGCCGGCAGGGACAGCACCCCCGCCTCCGCCTCCCAGCTCCCGGGCCTTTTCCTGTCATCTCACTCTCCCCCCCACCTCTCCCAGCCATTCGGCCTTCCCCCCCTCTCTCCTCACCTCTCTCTTGCTTTGCCCTTTCCCGCGGGGTGGGGTGGACAGAAAGCCAACTTGCATGGCCCCTAGCCGGCGGGGTGGGGATGGCCTTGCTTAGCTACAGAACCCGGGAGAGGGTACAGAGAGGCCTTGCCCAACACGGGGCAGGTGGCCCCCCTCTCAGGTGGGGTCTGAGAAGTCCCATCCGACCACTGTCCGATGGAGAAAAGCAACCGCGTGCACACTCCAAGGCAAAATTATGCAATTTACAAGCTTGGGAGATGCAACTTTCCTTTGTTGGCACATAGGCCATCACCACCACCATCAAAAAAATGAGCTAGCCATCACTACTGTTGTCTGGGGGAGTGGCAAGGCTGAAGGCCCCTCTCAAAAAATAAATAAATAACAATAAATAAGCCACAGTGTGATCATGCTGATTTGAAGACAGGGTAAGTCTGCCCTTGGTGAGAGGGAAGAGCTACACCTTGAACATCATGCAACACGGGCTTGGGAGTTTCACATGAACTTTCTGCAATGTAACCAGAAGTTGGTAGGAAGATTCAACAGATACACCTGCTGTGGGCTGGGCACTCGTTTCCCTTCCCCAACTGGCAAGAACACCCTGGCAGCCAGGTCAGAAGCACAGTCCAGAATGCGGCCAGGGTGGCTGATTTTGTGAAAGGAGGAAGCAGGCGACACCCCAGAGCAGCCCTCCACCACAGGAAGAAGCTGCTGGTGCCAGCCTCACTGCCAGATACCCGTGTTGTGTGCCACCTGTCAGGCACCACCCAAACAGCAAGTACTAAGCCTCGTTCTGGCCGGAACCAGACAAGATGGGGCAGCTGCCTTCCAGGCCTCCTGAGGTCCCGAGGAGAAATGAAATGATCGGGTAAATCAACGCATGCTGGAATGACTGAGTCACACCATCAAGACCAGAAGTGGTTGCTCTCTCTCCAGAGAGGACAGAAGCTCCCCCTAAGCGCGTTTGTTCAACCATGTACACATCAGGCAGTGCTCTAGTCTGTGGACACAGAAGCTGACAGACCAGACCCCAACCTTCAGCGTCCATTCCAGTGGGAATCTAACAAAGCCTGGATCGTTGCTTGATTCCTGAGAGGGAACTTTTCAAACTTCTTGAATCTCATAACCACATCACTGCTCAACAACACGTGCTGGAGAATCCTGTGTTACTATGACGCAGTTCTTCGCCTCCTGCTCCCTGGGCACTGACGTGAGCAGGGTTCCTACGGCACCCTGCGCCCCACCCTTTTCCTTCAGGACTCAGAGGAGAGACAGCAGCCCAAGCCCCATCCCCACACTCACCGGGAAATGAGGTAGAGACACTTGGCCATTGGCCTTCACGCTGCGATGCATTTCTCTCTGGAGCTGTTTCTTACTCCCCATGCGATAAGGAGGGATCCCATCTCTAAGGAAAAGGAAGAAAATCCACAGGCTCACATGGCTGCTTCTAGCACGTGGGCTGACTCACACATGCCACCCCGTGAGCCCGCCAACAGATAGGGCCGTGGCCTTTCACGGCAGCGCACCCCACATCTCCAGATACCTCAGTGTTCCCCCCGGGGAAGGATCCATTCAGTTCACGCTGCCGGACCAACTTTAATTCCTGCCCGTCAATCATCTCTGGAAACTTGGCTTCATCTCAGATGGCAAGACCCACTGCCCTGGAAAGAGCTTGGGAAGTCCCTCTCTGGGGCTGTTGTCTGAGAACTTGGTTATAATCCAGCCAGCGCAGGCAGAGTAGAGGGCTATCCTGTCCGACAGGTGCCCTAAGCAGAAGCAGGTTCTTAGTCCCTTTCAATGCTCCCAACAGTTTGTTACCACTATTGTATACAACCATGGGGAAACCAGTCTCTTACAGAAAATACTGGACAAAGACTACAGGGACACCAATTCAAACCCTCAAAAGCCCAAACCAGGCACTAGGGCAGGTGTGCACCGTTCTCCAAGAGTCACCCTCGCAATTGATTCCCTCAAATCTGGCTCCTCCTTTTGACTCCGTTTCTAAAACCCACACCCTCGAACAAAAAATTCTCAAAGACGATGCATGACCAACACAGGCAGAAAGAGAAAAGCTCCTACTGTGCAGTATGCTAATAAGTCACCAAAACATTTGCATTTGACCTTGCATTGGGCAAGGCAGCAGCAGACAAGATGGTTCAAAAAGTTAAACAGTTGCCCCTAGGATGTTTATATTTGAATGGAATGGAGCGGAATGTAGAACCCGTTGGAAGGTGGTAAGTACCACCACATCATGGGGGGGGGTACTTGTTAGGGATGGGAAAGTTCCAATTTTAAACGGAGGGGGAAACCAACAGGTACTTTTTGAGTCATTTTTTGACCTGGAGGAAATATGCCCCCGCAAGCCTCTCACCATATTAACAAATAAAATGTCAAATGGAAGAACTAAACAAAGTTCCCACAGTACCGCAGGTGCACTGAAAAACGTGACCTGCAATTGCTGACTTTTTAAAAAACAATTCTGATTCTTGAAACCCATCAGACGGTCAAAGGGGCAGCTTTTCCCATTGGTGGATTTCCTTTCAAAAGCCTACAGGTTCAAACATTTGCATAATGAATCACTCTTTGAGGCTGTAAATATTGAAATGAGGTGTTTGGCTATTTGTTTTTCCCTGGTGTTCTCTTCATTATGAGGTGGAAAGGGAAGAAAAACATCTTTGGCTGATTAGCAATGGGTGAAAATGAGCAATGCCTAAAAATGGCCTGAGAAGCAGCCAGGAATAACTGGCTGGCTTGAGCTTCTCACCTGTAACAGCCTAAAGTTCTCCATGGCTGTATTTTCTGGACATCTGTTGACCTAAGTCAGGAAAGAAAAGGCTACTGGCCAAGGAGGGGACTCTGGGGATTGTGGCAGATCCATGTTAGCCAAGACTGACAGCTAAAGCAAGAACTTCCCAGTGAGGGTCTTGCCCCAGCGAAAGTTAAGGGAGCAGACATGAGGCACAGGGGTGAGTAGCCTGTCCAGCGCCCTAAGAACCTACCAGCCTCCTACTTCCTGGGGTATGACTTCTGATGGGCCCTGGAGGACCAAGTGGGAAATAAGGTTCCTGGCAACTTACCGTGCCACCTGAAACTCATTTACCAAAGCTCTGTGTTCCCTCATACAAGTTAACAGAGGTAAGAAAACCAGTCTCCCAGGAGAGCAAGCCTGGCCTGACCAGCAACCAGCTGCCACGTACGAGTGGGTCAACCAGCATAAGGCAACTGACCTTCTCACAGGAGCCTCAATGGATGAAATGCTACAGATGATCAAGAATGTCCGTCAACTCAGTGATGAGATCCAGGGTCCTAACCCTGCTGCTGCCGGAGCTCCGAGCAGGGGTCCCTAACTCCATGACCCACAAACGGGTCCTCACCTTAGGATGTTTCTCAACCAAGGTTAGAAGCCAGGATTCCCAGTGGGCTGGACCTGGGGGGTGGGAGGCAGGGAACCATTTCCTAAGCTCTAAGCAACCCATCCTTCAACATTCTGTACGGACAAGTAGGAAAGTCAGAGAAAGTGTGCCCCCCCCCCCCAACCCTCTACTAGCACTCACAGGTTACAGGGCCCAGCAGGTGGTTTCCAAGGCATAGAGAAAGAGAACATTCCTATCTTTGACCCAGAATCCTCTGTGGAGTGAAGGGAGTGGTCAGGGGGTCCTCAAAAGTGGGTCTCCTGTTGCTTTAACTGACTCCTGCTACCCAGGGCTGCCAGACACATCCTGCCCCCTCCCTCCTGACCACCCTCCTCTGCCTCAGCCTCCTCGTGACAATGTTGGCAGGCAGAAGGCCAGCACCAGCCCGTGGACTCGACCACACTAACAGGTGCCATAAACTTTCAGAGTCTCCGGGCTTGCCATGCACTCCCCTTTTAAGGCTTTTATATGGCTCCTGATTGCTCCATGGAAGGTGGCAAGTGGAAAACAGAATGGGAGTGGGGGTGGAGAGGGGCGTAGCGGCAGCCGGTCCCTGCGGCGGCTGGTCCCTGCCAGCTAGAAGGCTGGAGAAACAATTTCCTAAGCATGCTTTCCCCACTACTACTACACACACACACACTCAAGGCCACCCACGCCAGGGCAAGCTAAGGATCCCCCTGTGGGCAAGCCACTTGTGATCAGGGAAAAAGAGACCGCAGTTGCCGAGGCTCAATAGGGGACCTTGGAGGAAATGTGGCTTTCACCCCTACACACACCCCAAGCCAAGAGTCGTCTTTGCAAACAGCCTTCTCATTCTAAATTGAGGCCTCTCTGCTCTCTTTCCTTCAGGCCCTGGAAACAGGTTCCTGGCTGTTCAAAACCGTGGGCTGAAGAGCGCCAGAGTTTTTGGTCTCTCCACAGTCGTCTTTAATTATAAACATTTTTAGCTAACGAGCCCACTGCCGGGCCCAGCTGTTTCTGGGGGAGCACCGAGTTTGAAGTGCGGACTCCACTTAGCTGCCATTTAAGCCGAGCCAATTAACTTAGCCTTTTGACTGCGCCGGCCCCGACCTAACCCGAATGTCGTTTTCCGGCGGCTTTGAAAGAGCAGACTGGCATGCAACGCGCACGCGGCCACTCGCACCTTCATCTGGCAGCCACTCCGAGGCAGCCTCTGATCACGGCCAACATCAAACGCTCGGTTTGTAAGCGGAGGTAGCATTTGAAGTTCATTTGGATGCAGTCCCTGGGGACCAAAGTCAACCCCCATAAATAAGATAGAAGGAAATAAAAATAAATAAATAAGGGGACTGGTGTCACCCCCTGCATGGAGCAGGAGGGGACCGGCTCATGCTGTTGGTGGAGGGCGGCGGGAACGCGAGCAGAAGCAACCTAGAAACACGGTGCTGCCGGCAGGAAGAGCAACTGCATGGCGTCGACTTGGCCTTGGCCATGCATGACTGGCCGCCTGGGACCACCTGTCTACAGACCTGGGACACACAGCAGCAGCGGCTGCCGGTAGGTCCCTCACCCCAAGCCCCTTTGGCCCACACTACTGGAAAGCATGGATGCTCTTAGGATTTTCCTGGGAGTCTGGCAGTCAACTTTCCAAAGGAAGGAAAAAAAGTTTTTAAAAAAGGCATTTCTTCCAAGCAAGCAGGCTTCAGCTTGTAAAGCTGCCTTCTCAGAGGCAGAGGGAGGAGCCACCCTTAACGGGGCTTCTAACTTAATGGGAAACCAGACACCGGCAGTGGACTTGGGGAGAGGGCAGAGATTTCTCTAGAAAACCCCTGCCTCATCTGCTCTGAAGGAACAAGTGCAGGCCCAGCTCCTGCCCCGCATGCCACCCAGACCACTCACAAAGGTCCCCAGGACTTGATGCGTTTGGTGGCAAATGACATGACCGCTTCCTTGGGCATGTGGTCTAATGAACTCCAACCTTCTGGAGTCCGTTGTGCCCGCCCATGACCACCCCCAATACCCCTCCTTTCCCCACTCCCAGCAGGGCAGCCAGCAGCACTCCCCAGCCCCTCGCAGCCCATGCTGCCCATTGTGCTGGCCAGGGCCCTTTTCATGCTTTTTGGGGCCCTGCTATTCACTTGTTCAGGGCAATTTCAAAGGGGCCTGCTCCCCTCTCATCCCTCTAAGCTTCCCCTGATGAACAATGGGCTGAAAGCGATTCAGCCCTGCTTTTCATCCCCCACACACTCTGCTCCTCGCCTGGCGCTCGCATCTGCACAAAGCCCACAGTTGGCAGAACTCTGGGGAAGGGGTCTAATCCCGGCCATGGGAATCTGGGGTGACTGTGCCACACCCGGAAGCTCACATACCCCCAGGGCTGATCAGCCGGCACCTCATAATACCCCACAGTCCCCTTCCCCCTGCGTCCCATGGGATCCCTGGCACCCAATGGCAGCCTGCAACTCCTGGGAACCTCTCGGCACAGACCAGCCCCTGTGCGACAGGCTGTCACTTGTAGAAACCCTTTTGGTCCCCACCTAGGGTAGAAGCACTTAAACAGCTCCCCAAGAAGGAGAGCTGGTACTGAGGCCAAACACAACCCCCCCATCCCCAAACATGCCCAGGTGGGTCTGGCTGTGACAGCTGCACTACCAACCCATCATCTAGGTGTGAGAAAGCGTCAAGCCACCCAAGGGTGCTGCCAAGATTGGCATCAACACTGCAAGCCTCCAGGTCTCACGTCATAGGTGCTTTCTCTTGGTCTCTTGGTTTGCAAAGTGGCCACACTGTAGGAGGGACTCGCGACAGCTGGAGCTTCTGCCACCAAGGGGCCCAAAGGGATGGCCTGTGTGCCCGGGTGAGGATGTGCCCTGCCAGCCCCGAGGCTCATCCCTTGCTCATCCGGAACAGGTGACTGGCTGGGATGGCATCCACACTGTGCTTTACTTAAAGGGGCAGGAATAAAAGCTTTAAAGTCACCTCGAAATGAAATCGAAACAGCACTCCCCATCCCCGCCCGCTCTGGGAAGGCTGGAAAGGAGAACTTAGAACATAGCTCCTCCCTCACCTAACCAATGCTGTTGTTGCTGTTTTTAAGCAGTCTGATCACTGCTAGTAAGAGTGCAAGAACCCCAAAGTGTCACACAGCTCTCACGAGCCACAGCTGCAGTCAGTACATCCTATGTTGAGAACGTCTGTGCCACAGGGGGCGCAGGGCAGGACCCCCACCATCTGGCCTGTGCCTGGCATCTGCTCTGCCATGAACAGCTCCAGCAGCACTGGACCTCAGCCCTACCTCTCAGTCACCAGGAACTGCCTATCTTTCTGATTGGGTCCGGCGGGGATCAAACAAACAAGCCACAGGGACTACACCCAAGTTATCTCATCATGTACCCAGAATAACACCTCAATGAAGGGGACTGAAATGTGGCCAAGGGCCAGGAAGCCAGCCAAAAATAGTCTCGAAGAAACCTAAACAGAAGCCTTACAGTCTTAAGGAAGCTATATTTGACTTAGGCGAGTCACTCAATGCCTTCATTCAACTCCAACTTGACTCTTAAGTTTTCACATAACACGAAGATTCCCAGGTAATCCACCAAGTACTAAAGGCTGAGGTAGCGTGAGCCTGCTTGCAGGCACACAGACGGTTAACAGATGCCAGCAGGCAGCACGACCAAGTGGGGGAAAGTGTTTCAATAGGGAGCGTTAGGTATAAGCCCAGACGACCCTAAGCAGCCACAGAGCCCACGCTGTAATTACGACATCGTCGCGTAAAATCAGATCTTGACACTAATTTGGAATAAAACCTATTTTAAGAATGACACCCATCAAAGGACAGTTTGGTCAGTACGGAAAAACTCACCTCTGTGAATTCCTCCACGTCTCAAACTTCGTTAAAAAAAGGTGGCGTACCCTTACTCAGCTTTCCCGAATGGCAAAACGCCATGTTTTTATCAGAATGACACCTGAAGGATCTCTCGGCCTTTGCTGGCGAGGGAATTCAAGGTAACAAAATGAAAGCCACCAGGGAAATCAATAGTAAGAGTCTCAAACAAACCCTGAGTTGGTCCCATGCCACAACCAACCAACAGAACCTTGGCCAATGGAAGGCAGAGCTGCAAACAAACTGGCAGGATAGATGGTCTAGTTTTAGGAACCAGCTCTAAATAAGTATGCCAGAGTGGGCACGGCTCCACCGACTTGCCTTTCAAACTTGTTCCTTCAGCAGTCACAAGTCTGACTCCAAAGCACTTGCTGAAAAGCCTTGGAGTCCATTTCTGGAATCATGATTCTCAACTGGGTGTGGGGCAAGAAGCCATGGAGGAACTTCACCCATGCCCCAGCTCCCTGGGGGCCTCTCGAATCGACACATCGGGGATCGGCAGGAGATGGGGTTACCTAGTCCAACAGCACTCCACACAGGAACATGTGTGCATGGGTACACACACACACACATACACATACACACACACTCTCTCTCATGAGATACAAGACTCTGAGACCCATCACTATGTTCTCTCTGCAGAGATCATCATAGCTTGACTTCTATGGCCCCAAGTTCAAAGCCTGCCCTCACCCCATGATCTGCTGAGCCCCTCAGAGCACTGACCTGGCTTACTGTAAAACAAAATCAAGGTCATCCAAAGCCATCTTGCTAAGGATCCAAGATCAAACTTCACTTTAAAGAGAGCCCCTACCCAGAATCTCCAGTATCTGCCCCAGGGCCAGCCCTCTGCACACACCTGCTGAATGGAATCATGGCCACTTAACCACCTCCACGACAAACACTACACACCAGGGACTGTCAGAGATCTCCAACCTGCCGATCCCCACCTTCAAGGCCTTCCCCTGCCCCCCAACACAACGGGTACCTGAACACAGCTCTTTTAAGGCCATGCTGTCACGCACCTCTTAGGCAGACAGGGCACCTGTTTTCAAGACTAGTGGGGACAAGTAGATTTGGTTTTTTGTTTGTTTGTTTTTAAACTCCAGCCATCACTAAATATTCTGACTTTCGACTATACTTTGGTTTTCTTCTGTTAAGGCATCAGACACTTCTTCCAACATCACCCAGAGCCTACCCATGTCACCCACCTTAACCAACACCATGCCACTACCATCCATACTGCCTTCCCACTGCAGGAAGGTACACACACACACACACACACACACACACACACACGAGACTGGCAAGACCAGATAGGCACAGCTGACGATTCCGCCCAGCCCAGCCCAATTCGTGTTACTGACCACACCCATGGAGGGGTTGCCAGATACTCACACACTGCTGTCCGTCATGGACATGGAGTCGTCAGTCAGAGCGTCACTCGAGATCTCGCTGTCATTGGCACTGGTGGCTGGTGCAAAGACGTAACCAGAGCCTACGTGATAGGGATTAACAGGATCGTTCCTCTTGAAGGACCTTTGAGAGAAGAGCAAGAACAGGCATGTGACTGCTGTCCAGGAGGCCAAGAGACCCCAGGACAACCCAGCCATCTCACCATGCTGCTGCAAACGCCAGCGCCAACCTGCTGCCTAGGGCCAGCTGTTCACCTGGCCAAGAAGGCAGCGGCTGCAAGAGTCAGGCCTGCTGAGTGACTGATTCACCCAGGGGACAAGACAGGCCCGCTATAGGGCAGACTGTGCCCAAGGTAGCCAGGAAGTGTGGGGGGGCGCCTGCCCATCCTAACTCAGGGAGACAGGGGCATGACTAAGGTCTGGGAGTGAAGTGGGGAGGAAGGGAAAGGCAGAAGAGGTGCTGCCTTTTTCCTGTCATCCCTTTCCACCCCAGGTCTGTCCCCATACATCCAGGGTCCCCACACATCTGAAGCACCCACACTTCCTGTCTGGGATCTGTCAGCCTCGGCCAGAGAGGCCTTCTGCAGCCTTCCCACAGTGACCCTGGGCCCATGGTGAGGGGACAGACGGGACAGCAAACTCGCACTCCACCTGTGAGCTGAGCTTCCCCTGTGCTGCCCCTCCATCTTTCCTCCCACAGTGTCCACAGTCCAGGGCTTCCTTGCCATGGGTGTGGCTCAGGGCAGCAGGACTCAAACAGCAAGCACAGCTGCTTCAAAGGCAGGCCAGGCCCCCTCCTCTGGCCCTTGGTCTCTGTGGCCTTTGGGTCCCCATTTTACTCTCTTGATCTCCTCCACTTGAACCACCAATGTGCTTGCCTCCTGCTGGGTCACATTCCTCTTGTGTCACCAGTGAGGGATTTAGGGAGTGGAAAGGGGGCAAGGGATCAGGGGACCCCTCTGCAATCTGCTAGAGCCCCAAGTTGCAGGAGCCCTCACCAAACAAGTCCCTGGGCCCACCAAATCTACTACAAGCAGTAAAAGCATGAGAGAAGGGCACGGCTGGGACAACACAGCATAAGCTTTGAGGTCACAGCAGTTGATCTATAAAGACAGCCTTGGGCTGCTTGGGCTTTGGCACAGCATCAGCTGGCAAGTGCCAGGACTGGGGGAAATTCCTATCAGGCTAGACCACAGAACCACCGGGGAGTGTGCCTAGTGGGGAAACGGTGGGCACCCCTCTGATGGGCTGCAGCTCCCACCAGTGAGCATAAGAACCAGGGCTGGAGGCGGGCCTGGTTGGACAAGCGGTAGCACCTACCAGCATAAGGGTGGGCTGGATAGTAGGGTCAGTTGGATTGAGCTAGGCTCCAATACCCATTAGTATTAGTGTTCACGCACAAGGACTGAATGGGATGTGGGACCAACTGGACCAGTCTGCTGTATATACTGGCATGCGCAGGAGCCAAGGCTGGGGACAGGCCTGGTGGGGATTACTGGGGTTGCTCCAACTAGACTGCAGTTCCTGCTGGTATCATCTTGGGCCACAGCATCCATTGGGGTCGCCCTGGGTCACAGCATCCATTGGGGTCACCCTGGGTCACAGCATCCATTGGCTTGCATATGAGATGGAGCTAGGTTGATAACTGACCCGGCAAGTGCAACCACCAGTGTATTTTGGCTGACTAAGGTGATTAAGCTGGATCCTGCACTGGCTGGCACACACAGGAGTCAGCTCTGGGGTCACCCGTGGTGAGGTATTCCTTGAGGACCAACCCCCCAACTCAATGACTAGACTCAAAACACCAAGCATGAGGAAAAATCCCAGGATCTGTGGTCTGACCATGGAGTGCATGCGTCTGAACTGGGCTTTCCTCAGTTGCTGAAGCTGGTGCAGTGGACGGCATGCCCAGATGCACATGGGGTACATGGGCGTCTAGTATCATGGCAGAGGATGGAGGGCAGAACAAACTGAACAACTCTCAAAGCCGAGTTTTGACAGCAAGTGTCTGGGTGAATGTAGACTTTAAAGTGGACTATGACAGCCAGTGGATCTTAGAGGGATCTCCTCAGCCTTGGAGCTATGAGATCAATATCACCTCAGAACTATCGAAACCACTTAAGCAGTACCCTGGCAACATGTTCCACATCAGGGACCCTGAGATGAGCTACCTTCGTCAGTACTGATGTGGTTGGATTGCTGAAGTGGTCCTCTCTTATTCTCCCCCCTCCCTTCTCTCAGATGCAGGCAAAAGAAAATGGCAAACAATGATCTCATCCACTTTTCCCCTATTCCTATTCCTTCTGACTCTGATCAGTGGTCCACATGGACATACATCCTTCTGAACTGTGTAAACATCATAAAAAATAATTTTTTTTAAAAAGGGACTGGTGTGGTAGCCTAGTGGCTTAAGTCCTCATCTTGCACATACCAGGATCTCATATGGGCCCCAGTTCTATCCCAGTAGCCCCGCTTCCCATCCAACTCCCTGCTTGTGGCCTGGGAAAGTGGTTGAGAATGGCCCAAAGCCTTGGGACCATGTACCCGTGTGGGAGACCCCGGAAAAGGCTCTGGACTCCTGGCTTCAAATTGGCTCAGCTCCAGTCATTGCGGTAGCTTAGGGAGTGAATCAATGGATTCCTCTCTGTATATATCTGACTTTCCAATAAAAATAAATAAGCCTTTAAAAAAAAAAAAAGATTGCCTTGGGGTTGGCAGGTGACAGGCATCCTGAGCTACCATGTGACCACCAGGTGACCAGCACTGTTGGCAGCCTAAGGCTCTCAGGCTCCTGGCACCCAGTTGCCACCACAACATGTGGGGCAGGGTGTCATTGTGAGGGAGGCCCTGGTCATCTCGTCCTGGTGGAGGGCGGGGAGGAAGGAACACAGTGCTGTGTCCATTTCACAGATGTGGCCCTTGGGGGCTCCTGGCACAGCAGTCAGCCCAGGATGGTGCAGGTGGCATCGGTGGGCTTGAACCTGACTTGTCTACTCCACACTCAACCTCCTTTTGCCTCCTCACACACAGGCCAGCCTTACAAAGAGTCCTTCAAAATGACTGACAGGGTGTGTGCGACCCAGGATAGGTGTTCCTAAGGAGGGAAGGGAAGGACAGCCCTCTTGGCACAAGGTGCACCATGATGGAGGCGCAGGAATTCAAGGGGCCAGCTGCCCCCTCCGTCCCCGCCCCAGCACCGGAGCAAGCACCAGTGGTAAGGAGTGGCCCGCAGGCTAGGCGGGGAGGAAGCCAGCCTGCCGGAGAAAAGGCAGGTGTGCAGCACACGCCTGGAGTCTGTCAGATCGGCCCAGAAGGGCCAGGAGGAAGCAATCTACAAGTCTCCTGGCAGACACCAGGAAGGTAGGAGAGGGTGGCAGGAAGCGGGCAGAACCGGGGTTGGGGGAGAGCTGCCACAATTAGCTATGAGGGTCTCGTGAGATGAATGACATTTTTGAGCCAGAAGGAACCTTGGAAATAAACTCACCCCTAGACACAGCTGAGCAATGCTGTCCCCAAGTACCACAGGACACACGACCTCCCTCAAGGGGGACAAGCATGACTGGGAGCAGGGCTGACACCCTAGAAATGTCCAGTTGGGTTACCTGCTAACCTTAATCCTCACCGTCACCCATGCAGGCCATGGAGCCCCGAGCAGAGGCTGCCCCCACCTGACCCTCACCCCAACTAAGGGAGACACAGCTGGAGGAGCTGCACAGCAGCTGCGATCTGCTCCCCCTCCTCTGCTATGTTTGCCCTGGAGACCTGGCTTAGGCAGGAAAAGGACCAGCAGGTGCCAGCCAGGAGTGGATACTCTCGCCAGGTGGGCCCTTCAGGCCCTCTTCTATCCAGAGCAGCAAGTCTCACCAGCTCCCAGGACATTTGGGGGTGACAATTCAATGAGGATGGTCAAGATCTGCCATGCCCCACTTCTCGCCCCTGTGTCCCCAGTCTGGAGTTCCCCAACACCAGAGCTGTAGGGGTGGGGCTGCCAAGCACAGGCCCCTGTCTGTTCCGGAGCAGGGAAGGAGAGGAAAGCGGGTGAAACTGGGAGAGACAGCCTCCTGCTTGATCATGGGGAACTCACAGAGGGGGCGCCTCCCAGCCCGTTGTCCCCACTGGAGGCAGAACAAATGGGCTTCCTGATGGAGTTGGGAGAGGCAGCTCAGAGAGTGGCCTGGGTACACGGGTGAGGCCACTGCCTCAAAGTGACATGTCCCCTCCCATGTCAGAAACCGACAGCAAGTGTGTTCTGGCCCCTCTGGGGAGGGGGCTAGCTTAAGGGCTGGCCAGCCTACCTGAATGAGGGAGGGGGTGGGGGTGGGAGGGCAGATCACGTGGGACATGGCCGGGTAAGTGCAGTGCGGCCCTGTGACTCGGGGAGATAACAGTAAAACTCCAGGACCCCAAGCTCGCCTGCCAAAGTCCTTGGGAGTCTTGATGGGAGCTGTGACTGGAGTGCGTCTCCGACCAGCATCATCCGACAGCGTGCCCTGTCCGCCCCCGTGTCCCTTCCAAGCACACTGGGAGCCCCTGGTCCTGTCCTGCTCCCAGTTATGTCTCCAACATGCTAAGTGGCCAGTGGCATGTGCCCCGAGCTGGGACCTTGGGGAATCTCCTCGAAGACCACGCGGCCATCAAATGGTGGCTGACGCGTTTTCAAAGGGGTGTAAGCCAAGGTTAGATATGTCTATCCCTCGTGTGTCTTGCTATCCTGTTGCTAGCAACAGGCCGACTGTGTCTTGAGCGGTGAGTTGGGCTGCAGCCAAGGGATGCAGGGCGAGGTGGGGGGAGGATGATTCAATGGACATGCCTTCCTGTCCAGCAAGACACCCGAGTCAAACCCTCGTGTGCCCACACGGCTTTACACCTGCTGCCTCACCCACACGTGGGTCCTCAAACAGCCTGCTCTCCCTTCACTGGCCCAAGAGGGCCACTGTGTGGCCAGCAATTAAGCGGGGCAGAAGCCAGGCTGAACTCGGCTCCACTTAATTCCGATCCGCTCCTTGGATTTTTCCTGTATTTCTAACAGAAGTGGGCAGAGGAAGGAGGCAGGGATGAGGGAAAAGGCATTAGAGGGAAAAGTCAATGTTTCAGAACCCAGAACTCTTGTCAAAGGCACCACGTCAGTTCAGGAAAAGGCATTAGAGCTGTTTTCTTGTGATTACTCAAAAGAAAAAAGAGGGGGTTGGCCCAGGGGGGTGGGGGACAAAACCCGACCATGCTGCAGTAATTGCACCCAGATGCGCCGCTGCACGCTGGGCGGGCACGCATGCGCTGCAGCGTCCACACGCAGCGCTCAGCCGTCAGGTGGCAGAGGCCCCTGGGACTTCGAGGGGGAAGGAACTCTGCTGCTAGCCGGCCTCCCTCTTCTAGCTCCGCGCAAGGCTGCAGTCGCTGGCTCTCCATGGGCGCCTGCAGAGCTAAGGCCATCTGCCGGGAGGAGCCCCACAGAGGCAGCTCTGGGCGGGGCAGGTCTGTCTAGGTCTCTCCTCGATGCAACTTGAATCAAATACTGGCGGCTGCTGGGGCGCATGCTCTTGTAACCTCGCCCACAAGGTCACACCCTCAGCCGCAAGCATTCTGCAGGCCAGATCAAGGTGTGTGTGTGGGGGGGGGGGTCTCAGCGAGGGGCTAGGACAGCAAGGTCAGGAAGGAGGCGGGGAGTGAGCCTTATGCATTTGGGCAGCTCTCCCTGGGTACCTGGCAACATTGTGCCCTCCCGGGCGCCCATCCTCTCGCGGCCGACTCCTGCTGCCCGCATATCTTTCCTATGGCATCATTTTCTTTGATGACTGAAGCCAAGCATGATTCCAAGGGCTTCGCACAAAAACGGGCCTCGTCAGCGAGTTCTTTCAAGCAACAGGGAGTGCTCGAAACCAGCACATCCATCCATCTGCTAGGCCCCAGCTCATTTCAAGTGAGGCCAGGGCAGAACACAACCGCCCTTTGGGGTAGTGGTTAGAGGGCAGGGTGGTAGGGACCCGGGCAGTGCTCTCTGCACCTGGCCCCAGACTCTTCTGGAAATAAATGAGGCACTTGGGGGCCTGAACCCTTGCTACCTGCCCAAGGCATCTGCCTCCCCCCGCGCTTGGCTGCTGTGCGCGTGCCTGGCTGCTGTTCGCCTGAGCGCCGTGCGCACAGGGGTGACGTGCCACGTGCCCTTTCGGGGAGCTCTCTATAGCGGCCATGAGAAGCTCCGGCCCTCCCACGCACCACTCACACAAGCACCACAATCCTGCCCTGCCTCTCCCAGACACCCAAATGGGGAGTACAAACACAGGTTGTGTGAGCGAAAGAGGTTGCTTGGCGTGCCCAAGGTAAACACGGGGTGGGGAAGGCTGGCGGGCACCTAGCTGCCAGGGCGCCTCCTTCACAGACGGAGGGGATCTCAGTGCCTTTAAGTAACCCGCGGACCCTCGGGTAGGTGGGGTGAGCATGCGGAGGAGAGGAGGCGTGAGCTTCAACTGAAGCCATTCCCCACCACCCAGGGAAATGACTGGAAAGGCAGAATGGGGTACAGTCAGATGGGAAGGGGGAGGACATCCTGAACCCTTGCCATGAGCAATAGGATGGAGCCCAGCCTTCATTCGAAAGCCACATCTACCCTGGCTGCCCTTTCTCCCTAGGCAATTATCGTTGTTATTAATTAGACTAATTACAACACCTCATGGGTGTTCAAAACATTTCCCTGGACAAAGGACTCCCGTAGTGGTTGTTTTAAGCCTAAGAGCAGCCCCGTGTTGTCGGTGGAACCGAAGGCACCCGCCCATTTCACAGACTGGCAGGCAGTGGGCGTGGACAAGGCTGAGGCTGGGGTCTCCGGGAGACTTGTAACATCTCCCATTACCCTTGCGTATCCTGCGCGTTCAAATGCAATCGTATCATTGCAATTTACTCGGAACCCTCTTTGATGATGACAAGATGTGTGGTCCAGGTAAAATGCTTCATTTTGACGCAGCAGACCAAAGCATGCCCAAGCCTACTTGCAGAAGCTCTCAAGATACTGGCAGCTGTCAGTCACGAATCCATGACACCCACAATTGACAGCACCCTACCTCCCCTCTCCCAAGGATCTTTGCCTCCAGGATGCAAAGCCCAGGCCAGGTCTCTACTGCCCACCCACCGGGACAGCAGCCTTCTCCAAAACCACACACCATGCTATTTACAAAGGTGACACCTCTGGGATCTGGCCCCTTCACAAGGCCCAGGGAGAAGCAGCCTCACCGCAGGCATTAAGTACTCCACTGTGGCTGCCAAGCCCAGGGCAAGGATGCCAAGGCCACTCCGGGGCTGGGCAGTAGAGGCAGGTGCCCAGCCAGGGACTGCCCTGCCGCAGGGGCCAGACTCAGAATTGGCCCCCACGATGAGGAGGATCCACAAGCCGCAGAGTCGTGCACACCGGTCCCTGCCACCATCCTCCCCAGAGCCAGCTGGGGATCTGTTTAGGTGAGGAGTGTGGGGAAAAGTGGCTCCCGCAACTCTGAGAGCGCTCCCTGGTGGCGTCTTCTATTCCACAGCAGAAGCGGCTCTCCAAACCCTGGCCTGCCAGGCTCAGACCCGGCTACCCCCAGGCATGCAGGATCAGCAAAATAACCCCCCCCCCCACTAGAGCTGCCCCCCTCCAGAGGCTGCATACCGCGAGCCACGCCCCCCCAAACTGGGAACTCTTCAGGCGCAGCTGCCAGGTACCATCTCCAGTCCCTAACCTAGGGACCTGCAGAGTCCTGGAGGACTGTATGATCTGAGACCAGCCACAGAGACAGCAACCCCGCCCCTCACCAGAAACCACCTCCACTTAAAAGAGGCCCATTCACCAGCCAACGCTGGGAAGTAGGGGAAGCAGGGAGGGGGCACGCTCACTCACTCACTCAGTAGGTCTGAAGCTGCTCCCAAGGGTGCGCAGTCCGAAGACTGGGCCAGCCTTTCAAGAACCGTCTCTCTGTGCAGCCTCAACAAGTCAAAGTTCCCCGGGGCCCCGGTACTGCCGGCCAGGCTACTTTCTCCCTTCTCCGTCAGCACCGAGCCACAGCAGAGACACTGGACTGGGGTCAGACCCCCAAAAACCTGGATGTGTGCATGGGCAGACCTACCCCAGCTGGAATAAGTCCACACACAGAGAGAAACCACCAGCTCAACTGCTAAGCAACCCACGGCTGACTCTTATCTGGACGCACAAGTTCAAAAGGGCCCGCTGACCCCCGCGAAGGGCTAGCCTGGTGCCTCGGCCACAGCCTAGCCAGCCACCTCCCTAACCACATTCAGCTCACTCTCCAGAGACACGCGGGGGAATGCCCCCTGCCCATCTGGTGCTTACAGCATCTGGTGACTCAGGGACATCAAAAGCTGCTGTCCCCTCTCTCTTTCTCAATCTCTCTCTCTCTCTCTTCCTCCCTCCCTTCCCCCCCCCGCCCCACCTCTAAGAGGCTAGCTCAGGATAATAAGTAACCCTCATTAATGAATACTGCTTGTTGTCACTGTTTGAAGTTAGCCCTGGAACACGGCAGGTCGTCAGTCCATAGTGAGAGCATCCTCCCCTCCCCCCCCCACCAGACAACAAAAAGCAAGATCAAAGGGTCCAAGGGCAGCGGTGCTGGCCGTTAACAGCCTCCGCAGCACTTGTGTCCACTGGCCCGTCCATCTGTAAGGTCTGCATGCCCCGCCCTCCCTGGGCCCTGTCCCCTCCCTTACCTGTATCCGCTGTCAGCCGTCTCCGTGGACCTCACGCTGGCTGTAGCCCTCAGAGTTTTGCTGGACAAGCCGACCACGGTGGGGGGCAGTTTGCACTTGAAGTCGGCACAAGTCCACTCCTCCTCTTCATTCAGGGTGGGCAGGTAGCCACACAGGACCTTGAGGCTGCCCAGGCCCCCGTGGCTCAGGCAGGCGGGATTCTCCCCGCCACTCCTCACGTATTCCAGGTAGATGTCCGAAGTCAGGAAGACCTGGTAGGCGTTGCCCTCCATCACCGACTGGATCTCCGTCTGTGCCTGGTCAAACATGACGGAGTCGATCTGCTGCTTCTTGATGCCGTCTCGGATGTAGGTCTTGGTGGCGGGCCTCAGCTGCTTGGACACGACGCTGTTGTTCTCGATGTACCTCTTGTAGATGGCTTTGGCCACCCGCAGGGTTTTGGTATCCTTGAGGTCCATCTGCCTGAACCCATTGCAGGCAAACCAGAAGTCCAAGGTATCCACGCATTTCTCCCTCTCCAGGAAAGTCCGAAAGAGGTACGCTCCGTCCTGATCACCCAACAAGCAGTGCAAGGACTTGGTCCACCTGGTCAGGGGGGAGTCGGGGGACGCCCGCCCCTCGGGCTCTCCCAGCCCGTCTTCATTCCGCCTGGCATTAGAGGACACGGGCATGGGCTTGGTGACGCGGCCCTTGCCCACCCCAAGCTGGCACGGTGGAGTCTCCCCTTCTTCTCCTGGCACGGGGGGCCGCGGGGCATCCTCCCGGAAGCTGCTGCTGGGGTCCGGGAGGCGGCTCACCAGCACAGCACTGCTCATGGTGGGGCGCGCTGCTCACCAGGAGTTGGGGATTCTTTCTGCTTCTTCCAGTTCTTCTCAGCAATTGGCAGTGTAGTGTCTGTCTGCCTCTGCCTCTCTCTCTCTCTCTCTCTCTCTCTCTCTCTCTCTCTCTCTCTCTCAAGTCAGCAGGGGCTCATCTGTGTCTCCTCTCTGGAAGAAAAGGAAGGGGGAGGTGGGGAGAGAGAAAAGGGTATTGATCTAATCAAAACCAGATCTACCCAACATCAAAGCAAGAGAGTAAACAGGCTTTTCAACTCCTCAGATTCAAATCCAGCCAGCCAGCTATCTGCAAGGCGCTCCTCTGAAGTATCAGACGCGGAAATCTGAGCTCCTAGCGCACTTTTCAGGGGAGGGGGAAGGGGCGGGGAAGGGAGATGGCAGCAAGGCGGGGTGGGGGGGTCAAGGGGGGTAGAGTTTTGGAGGGGATTGACGGCAAGGTGTAAGGTACAATCTTCCACACACACCCCCAAAAACATACGCTTGCGCACCTCCCCTCCCCCACCTTCAAAGCACCAACTCGAAGGAGGCGCGCTCCAGCAGCTGGGCTGCGTGCAGGTGAAACCAATTTCGGCAAATTTCCCCCACTCGGCTCGGCGCAGATAACTGGAGCGCCGACGCGCCCTTCTCCCGGCATCTGGTTCCTATTCCCCACCCCCACCTCTCACAGCCCCCTCCCTCCGAGCTTCCACCTTCCCACTCCTTAAAAATTCAGCAGGTCCTCGCCCCACAGGGAACCCGCCCAGCATGGGCGCACTAGGCTCCCGGACTTCCAGATGCAGCGCGCACGCCCATCCCTGATCCCAACCCAAATGTAAATATTTCTTGCACGCGCCCTCCTCTGGCTCAGCCTACACCTCGGTCTTCTCCGCTCCCCCTGCACCCACACCCCCCATCAGAAACGAACGAGTTCAAGCCGAAGACTCTGATCTTCAAACTTTGCGAGAGCGCCTAGAAACCTGGGGACCCTCCTCCCCCGGCCCCACAACCCACCTCCCGGAACCGTGAATTCTCCGAAACCGGATCAGAGGCCGCCTCACGCTCTTACCGCCTGTGCCTTGAATCCCAAACTCTACCGTTCTCGAGTCCACCTTTTTCTCCCCAAAAGAAAAAAGTCTTGTCTGACCAATAAACAAGCCGCTCTCCCTGGCACAGCAAGGATCAAACTCAGGAGGGTAGGGGCGGGCCAAAGGACCAGGCGCGCGACCCCGGCAGGGGAGCTGGGGGCCTCAGGACTAGGGCTCAGGTCACAGGGCTGGGCAACACAGCCCGCGGAGTGGCGGCGCTAGGGATAGCCCGCTCACACTGGCGCAGGGGAGTTGGGGGCGGCCCCGTTACCTGGAAGACGAAGGCCGTTGAGGCCGGGCTCTCATCTCCGCCAAGTCCCACCGGTCTGGGTCCCCGACCCCATCCAACTCAACGCCTCTAGAGCTCCGGCTCCAGCCCAGGACCCAGAACACGGAGCCCAGAGCCCCCCAGGACGCGCGAGCGGCGCCCGGAACCCGAGGCAAGGAGTCGGTTCCCGGTGCCGAAAAACCACGGAAAGCGGCAGCCTGGTCCCAGAAATGGCGACGCGCGGAGTCTCTAACCTCTCCGCTAAAGGCGCCGGAATGGCCAGGGGCGCGGGGCCCGGGATCGGAGGACGATCCGGGGGGCGCGGGGAGCAGGGCTTGGGCCGGTCCTGCGCGCAGACTGAGCCTCCGCGGGCACTCTGGGCCCCTTAGCTAGGACCACAGCCGGGAGGGGAGAAGGGGAGGGGGCAGAGAGGTAGGAGGGGAGAGGGGCGGGGAGGAGTAGGGTGGAGGGGAGAGCAGGCGGGGGCGGGAGGGGGGGGGAACCGCCACCCTTTCATCCACCTCCTAAAGGCATTCCCGCGCAACACTCACAAAACGACAGCGACGCGACCCCCGGGGGGCGGCTGCCCCTTCCCCGCCCCCACTTGGAGAAGTCTCCCCGCAGGCCCTACTACCACCGCCACCACCACCTCGGCCCCCACACGGGCGCGGGGCGGCCCGGCCAAGACCCCCGGAGCGCTGGGCGCCGGGCCCGCAGCTCTCCTCCGCGCCGGCCCGGAGCGCGCCCCGAAATAGCCGGCCTGCCAACTTCAAAGATCCGCCCGACACATCAAAGCGCGCGGGCCGCCCTCCCCGGCCGCCGCGGCCTCGGCACTCACCAAGGATCGGCGCGCGCGCTCCTCCGCGAGCCCCGGCAGGCGCCCCGGCCCCCGGATCGGCTCGCAGCGACGGCCCTGGGCCCCCCCGGGCCGGCCCCGGCGGCCGAGAACATGGGGAGACGCGCGGCGGGGGAGTAGGGGGGTGTGCGGGGAGGCGAGGATCCCGAGGTTACAGCCAGATCCGCCCGCCGGGGAGGTCGGACGGGGAGGGGGGGGAAGCCCCGCCGCCCCTTTTATGCAAAAGCCCCCCTCCCCGGAGTGGGCCTCCGCCCCCGCCGCGGCCGCCCCCGGCCCCTCCGGCCCCCGCCCGGGCCGGCTTTCCACCCAGGTCCTGCTGCCAGCAGGCACCCGGCGCACCAAATGTCCTCCGGGCGCTTCCAACAAAAACTGCGCTGTGGATTTAACTGTGCACTTCAAAGGCGCCAGCCGAGCGCACGGTCCTGAAAGGGAGGTAGGCGCCGGCCGCGCCCCGCGCCGGCCCCCCGCGACCCCCCGCCAAGCCCTCGGCCGCCCGGCCCGGCCCGCACCCACCTCGGGGCCCGATCTCGGCGCCGCCGAGCCCCCCAGGGTCGCGCCCCGCGCCCACGCCCGGCCCGGCGCGCCCTCGCCCGCCCCCCGCCTGCCCAAGGCGCGGGTTGGGAAGGAGGGAAGGGGGCTCCTTTGAAGCCACCGGGCTGGGCCCGGGTCTCCACCCGCACCTTCTACAGCAGGGCGTGAGGCGGGGGACGCGGGCGCCTCGGCCGCCGGGCAGCCGCGAGCTCCATCGCTCCGTGGGGTTATTTTGATTTCCCGGCTCTCGGCTGTTACCGAGTTGCCAGGACCTTATCAAAGCGCAGCCGGCTCCAGCCGACTCCCCCGGGCCGGGCGCGGGGAGCCAGTGATCCCGCCGCGCCAATCACCGCGGCGCTCGGCTGGCCCGCGCCTCCCGCCTTAAAGGGACAGCGCCCCGCGGCCGCCCCCCGGCGCACGCTCCGCTCGGGCGTTAACCCTTCCCCTGCCCTCCGCCGCCCCCTGCCAGCCCCCGGTCGCGCCCCCCGCCTCCCGCCCCGGGATGGGGGCGTTCTCTGCCGGAGTTCGGATTTCGTCTTTCAAGTTCTCCGGCCTCTTGGCTCTCGCCCGCTCCCCTGCCTGGCCCGGCCCTCCCCGGCTCTGGAATGCAACAGTTCCTTGTAGCATTCTGGTCACCGCCAGAACTGCAAGCAAGCAGATTTCTGCACCCCCCACCACCACTTTTTTTTTCCCTATCATCGAACATTTTTCAATCGCTGTTCAAGCTTCCCTGAGAATTTGGGCTTTTGGAGGACCTTGCGAAGAGAGTTCTAGGCTGGCTTCGACTGGCCGAGCGCGCCACGGGCCGTGCGCACGCACGTGCGCGCCGGTGCGCGGGGCATCAGAGGTTGGGTGACAACAATACTGCGACTGGGAGAGGTGGGGTGTGCGTTTAGTGGATGCCGGACGGTGGGTACCTGGGCGCGGGGATTGAAAAGCGGACTTTACAGCCCTGAAGTTCAGGAGTCAGTCCGTTCACTGCGCACATGGTGGACCGTGCCCAAGAAAACAGCTACCTGCCTCTACGCTTCCAGGGACCTGGTTCTCCCCCATGGTCCCTACTAAACACTCCGAGCACCGTTTTCTGCTCCACACGCAGGATTAGTATATTGAACGCTTCTCACCCTGCTGTCACCTTTGCACTTCCACCTCCATGTCCTCCCCAAAATGATTCTAAGGCACAACCTTTCCTTCCCATTTAAAAGAAGAAAATACACCCCCTGCCCGAATACCCCTTCTTTGCGCATCTGTGTGCGCATCCCTCCTTTCTTCGTCTTGAGCACCATGGAAGGGTGAAGCAGAGAGATGCACGAAGTGACAGGCCAAGCTGCTGGAGACCTCAGCTCTCCCGCTTGCTTTTATTCACTTTCAGAATGAACTTCATGGAGAACCATGTTCACACGTAGAGGAGGCATGTGGGTGGAGCCTCAGGTGTGACTACCTAGATTTCCATAGGAAGAGCAAAGGGAAATCCACCACTTCTGTGGTCTTCCCAGTCTACAGGGTGCCGCCAGGGCTGTGGAACTGACATGGCCCAAGGCTGCAACTCCTGGGCACTTGGGATGGGGGATGAGGGAGGCAGCTCCCTTCCCAAGGCCCGTCCCTCCAGGCTCACCGCCCTGGGCAGTCAACCTGGTGTAAAGCCTGCGAACTGGACTGTGAACTGGTTCCATCTGTGCCTGGAACAACTACTAGACAGGAAGGAGCTGGTGGACTGTAAGAACCTGACTTTCAGGAACTGACCCCATCGCCCCCCCTGCAGGGGGAGTGGCCTGCATCATAGCGCAAAGCATGTGTGAGACCCAGGGCTATGGGCACCCCAACCCCCAGGAATCTCAAGAACCAAACTGTCTCTGTGGTTCCCGGGAGTCCTGAGGCCACAGAGGGTGTTATTACTGGAACAAAAAGTGGATTCAGAGGGGGGAGGCACTGCCAGAGAAGTGCCTCCAGTTATCAGCAGCAGTAAGGACGCCATCCCAGCCCCCAACACACGCACACATACTCACCATTGGGGAGGGGAGATGGAAAAACCAAAGCATCCAAAATCCAAACAAACACTGTTCCCAAAGAGGAGGCTTCCACAGAGGAAGTGGAAAGCTCGGTCTTCATGGGGGAGGGTTCCTCCCCTTCCGTTGTCCCCACTGACCCTTCACTAACCCCCAACCAGCTTCATGCTGAAAGGCTCCCCTAGACCAAAAGATGTGGGGGCCTTATTGGATTATGGGTGCTTGGCTCACTTCAGGCCAGTGACAGCACCCCCACCATCACCGCCAGTCGCCCTCTGCCCTGGCCCCCTTCCTCCCACATCCCCAGCTTCATAGCTGGTGGC